CCCCCCCACACACACACACAAACACAGACACACGCACACAAACACACACACACACACATACACACAGATACTGAGACGGTTATGAGATGGGCTAGAAAAACCTCTTAACTGAACACGCGATACGCAAGCGCACTGACAAAAACCCTCACAACATAAAATGCCAACAGAGCTCAACATGTAAATCTCATAATGATCAATTACCTGTAAAAGCTGGGCCCAGGTCCCCATATCCCAGCATATCCCGGAGATTGGCGATGTAGTTCAAGGCCAACTTGAGAATTGTGAACTTCGTGATTTTATTCTTGCCATCGTCCCTCCCCACGTCAGGCAGGGAGTCTTTCAGATTGTCAAATGCCTCGTTTATTTCCTTCATACGGTCTCTCTCCCTGGCGTTGGCCGTCCGTCTCCGATATTTGCTCAAAGGTGCAGGTTTCACTTTTCCTTTAGGCTGTTTCGGCTCCTGCTGACGTCTCTCCGTCTCTACCCTTTTGACGAGAGAGCTCAAGCGTAGGTTATAGTTTTCAGTGTTTCTTGTGCTTCTCGTCGAGCGGCGCAGAGTTCGAGTCTCACCATCGGGGGATGAGGTAGACACCGGGTCAGCTGTCGGGGAACCTCCGCTTGAGCTGAGGGAGCGGGGAGACGTGTTGTAATTATTGTCGTCTGCACCGCTGTTGCTGCAGGTGATGGTGGTCGCGCTGCTGTTGCTGTTGCTGTCGCTCTGGGGGTCTTTTTCAGCGGACTCGAACCCGCTGTCTTCCGTCGGGAGACGCAACACCCCAGTTTTCTGGCTGAGCTGCGTATGTGGAGCAGACGCTTGGCACGATTTTTGGGACTTGGCTTTACTTTTACTTTCAGTTGATTTCTTACTCGTGGTGGGTGAGGGTGACGGTTCTGGGCTCGTTTTGAGCTTCTTCCGACGCGATTTAGCTGGTTTTGAGTATCCTTTGCTTTTACGTTTCCGCTTCTGCTTTGGGGGATCAACAGGTTTCAGTTCTCCTCCCTGTACGTCATTTGGGCTCGCGGCGACGACATCTGCGCTGGAAGCCAGAAACTCGGGCGCGTGATGCTCTAATGGTGACGTAGCATTCGTGAAGATGTCACAGCCACCGTTGTCGGAACGTTGTAGATGGTGTGAGGTGGAGGAGGAGATCAGGTTTATCCCGTGGTGGTCCTCAACACGGGAGCCACCATTTCCCACAGTGAGGTTATCGGGAGCAAAACAGTTGTTGTTTAGAACGTCTTTGGCGTCGAAGATACTGGACATACTGAATGGGTCACTGTCCTCAATAATGCTTTTATCCAGTCTGAGTTCTTTGTGAGCGTTCTCGATACCACTTCTAAGAGTGAGGGACAAACTGTCTAGAGTGTGACCCAAAACGGCATTAGCGATACAAGGATCTCGTGATTTACTCACGTTTCGTCCCGTTGGGATCATTCTCATCATGTTGGCTTGTTGATGTCCGATAAGACCGCACCTGCCGTTATCATTACTATTGATGTTGTTGTTCGTTGTGATTAAATTACTGATATGGCTATTGTTGTTATTGGTATTACAGTGAAGTGAGGCTTTTGTTGAGGTAAAGTTATCTGGCAGACATGTTTGCAGGAGCGAGGGGCTGGGAAGCTGGGCCAGCTCTAGAACTCTGGAGAGATCATCGTCGCTGCATGGACTGTCCGGGAAACTCTCGGGGGAGTCGAGGACAGATGCAGAGTCGAGGGCGCTGAGCATAGAAGGCAAGTCGGCGTCACCGAAACACGAGTCGTCATTGATGTAGCCGTTGACAGCGAAGACCTGAGCGAACTCGTCGAGACTGCAGTCCACCTCCATGGCGAAAACTGCCAGAGTCTTGGTCCTGACTTAGTCAAGGTATAGCTTAATGTGATATGTTACCGGTTTTACGTTGCTAACCAGAAAGGTTATTTTTTAGGCGACCCACAAGAACGTAGGATTTCCTGTAATTATGACTCTTTGATTTTACAAATCTCAGGTACTCGGCGTTGAAGACAGATTCATTTGTTATCGATAGTACTATTCATATGTCCTTGAGCGGTTGGATTTTTCACAATATTACTTTTGCTAAGTCTCAATAAAGAAAACAAATGTTCCGGAATATTTTTAAAGAGTTCACTGTAGTCTCGTCACAGACGACAAAAGTATACCCCAAAAAGTTCTTAAAAGTGGCATAAATCAAAACGAAGCTTCCACTACAACACGTTATAAATCCATCATCAGGAAGTTTTCATCAGTGCAGGAAACCTCACAGTAAAAGACAGGGAATGTTACATCTAGTCTTGGACCACTCCTTGGTGTAACCCGCGGTCCGTTCAGCCTAGGTTTTTAGAGTAGGTCTATCCCTACATGGGGGAAAAAGCGAGTCTAACCAGATCTCGTTGTTCCCGAGTAGAGTCGAGTTGTGAATGAAATCAAGGCGTACGCATTCCTACTCCAAGCGACAGCCGCGACTCCTAGTCCTAGAGTCACAGAACTAGTGTAGGCCTAGCTAGGCTAGAAATCTTCTCGTGTACATCAAAGGACAGCTCTGCTTGTTTTGAGTCTCAGCCCAGGTCGCCGACTCGGTTTATAAAAGTGCCAAAGGCGCACGAGCCGAGCTCTACGAGAGGGGGCCCCACAGGTAAGCAGAGACCAATGACAGGGTCCCACGGTCGCCTGAACTGACGTGAGTCTCCTCCCATTTCGGTGTCTCGCACGAGGGCCCGACCACGATGTTGACGGCAAGAACGCAAGGAGGGTGGAGAAGGGGAAGGGAAATGGGGTTGGGTGGGTGG